ATCCCCGCCAGCAACACAGGAGGTTTTTTTTTCTTATTTTCTGCACATCCTCACCAACACCTGTTCCCTCCTCCTCCTCCTCCTCCTCCTCTGCGGGGAGGTAGCTAAGCTCCCAGCAAAAAACCGGGTCCCTGGCCGGGCGCGGTGGCTCGCGCCTGTAATCCTAGCACTCTGGGAGGCCGAGGCGGGTGGATCGTTCGAGCTCAGGAGTTCGAGACCAGCCTGAGCAAGAGCGAGACCCCGTCTCTACTAAAAAAAGTAGAAAGAAATTATCTGAACAACTAAAAATGTATAGAAAAAATTAGCCGGGCATGGTGGCGCATGCCTGTAGTCCCAGCTACTTGTGAGGCTGAGGCAGGAAGATCGCTTGAGCCCAGGAGTTTGAGGTTGCTGTGAGGTAGGATGATGCCATGGCACTCTAGCCCGGGCAACACAGTGAGACTCTGTCTCAAAAAACAAACAAACAAACAAACAAACAAACAAAAACTAGGTCCCTTTGGTAGAGTTGCAAGGGATAAGAAAATAATAGAGAAAAATGGAAAATAAAAGAATACACAGAGACAAAGATATGGTTTTATAAGTTTATGAAGATTATAGGCAAAGCAGGATCTCAGGGGGCCTAGACCTTCTCCGTGGGTCTCAAAAGCCCTGAATGAGGTCTTACATGGTAACTTATAGGGAACAGTGATTAGTTGCCAGGGGTCACAGATTTACATAACAGCAGGTAGTTCCTCTCAGGTTAACAGATTTTCAAAAGGCTTCTACAGATCCTTTAACTAATTCTATCTACGTGAACAAATGGTTACAAAATCTTTCAAAGGTTAACTTCTAAGTTCTAAGGTAAGTTTATCACTTAACAGAGGGGTTAAACAGAGATATGTTGGCTCCATGTTTATTAGGTTATTGTGAATGGAGACAGGTAGTCTAGAGTGTTAAAACAGGAGCTTTGCTTTTAGCCATTCGGGCAGCTGTCTGTTCTAGGGGGCACTCCATTGTCAGCTCTCATCCTGTAGCTTTTAACAGATTCGCTTTGCTTTACAAAGCAAATCCAAACATTTAGGTCTGAGAAACGGGGCCCTTGTGGAATACAGCTGCTACTGTCTTTCAGAGACGCCCTTCCGAGTGCAACAGCATTTGAAATGCAAACCAACACGTTCACATATTCCTTCAGGGCAAAGCTCTGAAAAACTCCTAAGACAAATCCTGTCTGCAAACACGTCTATATTAATTCATGGAGCAACACTCTTCCTTGATTGGAGCCACCTTAGTGGGTGTAAAGTGGTGTGTCATTGTGGTTTTGATTTGCACTTCCCTAATAGTTAATGATGCTAAGCATCTTTTCATGTGCTTGTTGGCTGTTTGCGTATCTTCTTTGGAGGAATGTCTATTCAAGTCCATTTTTAAAAAAATTTCCAAGTATTACGGGAGTACAGATGGTTTTGGTTACATGGATTGCTTTTGTAATGCTCGAGTCAGGATTATAAGTGTGCCTGTCACCCCGATAGTGTTCATTGTACCCACCAGGTAGATTTTTGCCCATCCCCTCCACCCACTCCCCCCTGCTTGATTTCCTTGGAGATTTACTTCCCTCTGTGCACATGGGTGCTCACCAGTTAGTTGCAATTTAATAGTGAGTATCTTGGTGTTTGTTTTTCCATTCTTTAGATACTTCACTTAGAATAATGGTCTCCAGTTCCATCCAAATTTTTGCAAAGGCATTAAGTCATCCTTCTTCATGGCTGAGTAGTACTCCATGGTATACATACACCACATTTTATTAATCCACTCATGAATTGATGGGCATTTGGGTTGTTTCCACATCTTTGCAATTGTGAATTGTGCTGCAATAAACATTCTCGTACAGGTGTCTTTTTGATAAAACTATCTCTTTTCCTTTTGGTCAATACCCAGTGGTGGGATTGCTGGATCAATGGTAGGTTGGTCAAATCCCATTCTTAAGTTGACTTGTTTGTCTTTTTGTCGTTGCACTGTAGGAGTTCTTAAAACATTCTGGATATCAAGTCCTTATCAACTACATGATTTGCAAAAATTTTCTCCCATTCTGTCTGTTGCATTTTCACTGTCCGTTTTCCCAAAGCACTTTGTTCCTTTCGCAGCGTGAAAAGTTGTTGCCTGAAGTCGGCAGCACCCCACTGGGGACCAGCTCCAGGAAAGCAGGTGTCTGTCTCAGCGGTCCACCACTGTGTCTCTGTGTCTGGGACCATGCTCAGCTCCTAGCAGACCCTCAATAAATGTTTGCTGGACACAGGAATGAATGTATCATCTTGCACTCCCACTCTGGAATTCTTCCGAAGTGTGAGAAATCAAATCTGCAAATGGTTTCAAAGGTAGCACTTTTCTGCTAGACCAGAATATCGAGATGAATGAGGTCAAGGTGGCCTCCCGTGGGCTGGCCCTGTGTTCGTGCATTCAGACCTTGCGGCAGCCCTGCCCTGATATCATCTGGACTTTACAGATGAGGAAACTGAGGCACAGAGAGGTGCAGCGACTCCCTAGGTCACACAGCTAGTGCGGGCAGAGCAGGATTCAAGCCTGGCAGCCCAGCCCCCACTCGCTGCTCTGTGTGGCTTCACAGGCACCTGGCAGATTTCACTGGTTTGGGATTTTCAGGGCTCTTTTCAGAGTTTTGGAGTCAATTATTTTTTTCAGGTTTCAAATTTTTGGGGTCTATTGAGAAGAGTTTGTGCCTTAGAGATAAAATGATCCCAGGGGAGATTATGGGGTGACCCTTCATCCCAGGTGGTCTCCTCTGCTGTGTGGCCTTGGGCAAGTCCCTTATCCTCTCTGGGCCTCCTCATCTGTAACAGAAACCCGTTTATTCATTCATTTATTCATTCACTCATTCACCAGGCCTCAGCCCAACATACCCACTCTTTCATCTTGCTGAAGTTAGGGTGAATTTTCCACGTTTTACAGGTAAGGAAAAGTCTCACATTAGGGTAGCTGTGTCTCAGGAACTCATTTGGATCAGAGGCCCAGCTCTGTGCTGGGTGTTGGGGATACAGAGATGTAAGATACTTTCATTTATTTATTCAGCAGACATTAATGGGAGCCCACCTATATGCCCAGCTCTGGGGACCCAGTGGTGACCAAGACAGTCCCGATTGCCCTTCCGGGGCTCACAGCCTGGTGGAGGAGGTGCAAGCATACATTAAACCTGCAAGTAAAGGGACGATTCCACAAAATGGCCAAAGGTCATTATGGCACAGTCTTAGGTTTCACCATGATTTGTTGGGGCTTGGCAGGGACACAAATAAATACTTATCCTTTGTGTGGGGGGTGACTCTCTAGTTTGGGGGTGTCTGGCTTCAATTTGGAAAGTTATGTTAACTCTGCAAGGCTCCACTCTCATCTGCCTTGGCCACTTGCCAGGCTGTCCTTTCTCATTCCAGCACTGACAGGTGGGCTTGGGGATGGGAGGGGTGGAGGAGGGGGAGAGGGGGAAGCTTGGAAAGTGCCAGCAACCTGTCCAGGTAACACAGCCCAACAGGGACGAGAAGTGGACTCCCCCCAGCCTCACTGCCCGGGTGGGAAGACTGGCCACTGCATGCTGGCTGGAATAATATTAACGCTGTTGGCAAGTTGCATGGCCTGTGATTTGTTCAAGAAGGGTGACCTGGTATTAGGCACAGAGAATTTAAGTGCCATGATCACACGGGGTCCAACGCACCCATTTCAGAGATGCAACTGATGAGGTCCAGAGAGGGCTGGAACCTGCAGCAACAGGCGACATCACAGTCCTGAGCCTCAGTTTCCCTGCCTGGAGATTGGGAGTGGAGGAGAGAATGCAGCGAGGCGCTGTGGTCCAGCACCCAAGCCCCTCTGGCCTCCCAGGGCCCCCAGCCTCCTTCCTCCCATCGGTCAGATCCCCGCCCACCGTAGTCACGCCTGTTAGTTTCCACGGACACGCCTGTTAGTTTCCTGGGTTTCCTCCCAGGAAACCCTTTTTGGAAACCGGGCACAAGAGGAGTGGTTGACATAGGACATTTGCTTGTTAGGTACCCCGCCCCGAAGACGTGCCACCCCGTCCCGCCGCTAGGCGGCGCCAGAGGGCAAAACCGAGCGAGCACCTGCTCTGCCTTCTTAACTCACCGGCCAGGTAGGACCTGGCCTTATTTTCATTTTCCAGAGGAAAGAAATGAAGCTTAGCGAAGCGGGGTGACCGTCTCACGGTCACAAAGCCGGCATGGGGTTCTAAACTGGGGTTTTCGATTTCCGTATTCTGCTCTCTCCCCCGGGGACCTCCGGGGTCCAGCAGGGGCGGGCGGAGACCTGCGAGGATCGTGGCCCTGGCTGGCGTCGGGACCCGTCCGTGTGAAGCAGAGATCGGGCAAAGGCCGGCTGTGGTTCGGCTGCGAAACTCGGCAGCTCGTTCGACGCACGACGCAGACTCCGCTCGCAGGGGCCGTGTCTACCGCTCGCTGACGTGCCACGGGCTCGGCGTTTTCAGCACGTTTATTCGATCTGACTTTGCATTTTTCCATTTTGGAGTCAGTAACCACACCCCCTTCTCAAAAATATTTCTGGAGATCTCTGACAGCTGCCCCTACTTCAGCGCCCTGGCCCGGCCCGTGGCGAGAAGGCCGGGACGGGGCCCTGGGGGTGACGGGGTGTCGCAGAACAGAGACCCCCTCCCCAGCCCACCCCCGGCCCATCCTGGGTGCCCCAGACCTCGGAATCCAGACATCCCACCCCGCACCGCTCTGCCTTCCTTCGCTCTGCAGCGCCCGAGCTCAGAGGGCCCGGCTCCTCCTGCCTTTGGGGTGCGCTCAGAGCGGAGACGGCCCCCCTTCCCGCTGCTCAAGTCCAGTGCTCAGTCCCTCCTTCCTCCTGCGGAGAATTCAGAACTGTCCCCTCTCCGGTCCCCGCCCTCCACCCCCAGAGGGCCCAGGGCACGTTCCCCTCCCCCAGCCTGCTCCCCCGGGGCCGGGCTCCGCACAGACCCGCCACCCCTGCAGCGACGCGCCCCCGCCGGAGGGTCAGAGCAGTCCCGGGGCCCCGTCCTCTGCCTCGTCCTCCCCGCCGGGGCCGCCGCCGCCCCGGGTCGCCTTCTCCACGCGGTACTTGCGGCGGCGCAGCCACTCGGTGAGGCTCCGTGGCACCGCGTCTTCCAGGTCCTCGGGCGGCAGGAAGCTGCGGTCCAGCACCTCGGCCGCCTCCTGCCAGTTGGCGAAGCAGGCGGGCCCCAGGCGCTGGATCTCCTCGGCCGCGTCGCGCGTGAGCACGTCCCCGCCCGGCTTGAGCACCACGACCGCCGGCAGGCGCTCCACGGAGAACTGGCGCCCGAGGTCCCTGCGGGGCGGGCGGGTCAGTCTGTCCCTGACCCTGAAACCGGGGAGGCCCACGTCCCTCCTCCCTGTACTTATCGGGCGCCTTCTGTGTACACTGTCCCGTGCCTGCCTGGCACCAGGCATATGCGAGGACCAAGGCAGGTCCAGACGCATTGGCCTCCGCGCTGTGCCTCGGGCGTGCTTCAACCTCAGGACATTTGCACTGCCCGTGTCCCCCACCTGGAGCACTCTCCCCAGACATCTGCACGTTAAGACTCCGGATCTGATGGCGCCACGGCACTCTACCCCGGGCGACGGTGAGACTCTGTCTCGGGCCCCCAGATCATGCAGACTTCCAATCTGTCCTTTCCTCCTGCTTTGCAGGGTTTCCCCTCGTGCCCTTCAGCAGCCGACACATCTATGGTCTATTTATGCCTCCTTATCCTTTTCTCCCACACTGGAACTGCAGATCCGCAGGGGCATGGGTTTCTGTCGCCATTCGCTGATGTCCCTAGTGCCTGAAACAGTGCCAGGCAGAGCGTAAGTGCTCAGGAAATGTGTCCGGGATGAAGGGAGGAATGACTCCGATAGACACCACGGAGAAATATTAAGCTGAGGAAGGTCTGTCTGGCCAGAGAGAGCCTCTCCAAGGAGGTGGCCTCTGAGCTGAGATCTGTGGGATGGGGGGCTGGGAGAAGGGTGGTCCAGGCAGAAGGCACAGCATGTGCAAAGGCCCCGAGGTGGGAGGGTGGTTGGGGTACAGCCCTGATCATGCAGGCCCTGGAGGGTGATAGTGAGGAGTTTTGATTTTGTTCTATGCGTTACTCACTGGAAGTCATGAGACGCTTTCCATGTCCCCAGAACACCCTGGACCAAACATCAAGTACTGGCTGCCAAACTGGGCCCGCCATGGTCCTTTTTTTTTTTTTTTTGAGACAGGGTCCTGCTCTGTCGCCCGGGCTAGAGTGCCGTGGCGTCATCACAGCTCACAGCAACCTCCAACTTCTGGGCTCAAGCGATCCTCCTGCCTCAGCCTCCTGGGCCTCATTTCAGCCTGCTGGGTTCTTGGGCGGCCATTTTCCAGGCTGCCAGGAAGAGAACACATGGTACTTGCAAAATCCCACAGGAGGAGGTTGCCAGATTTAGTAATTGAAAATACGGGACACTCAGTTAAATTCGAATTTCGGATAAACAACGAATAATCTGTTAGTATTCATTGGGACATACTTACACTACGATATTATTTGTTGTTTATTGGAAATTTAAATTTAACAGGGCAAACTTTATTTTATCTAGCAACTCCAGGTGCGGTGGCTTACTCCTGTAATCCCAGCACTTTGGGAGGCCAAGGCGGGAGGAGGATCGCCTGAGGTCAGGAATTCGAGACCAGCCTGGGCGACATAGTGAGATCCTGTCTCTGAAAAAAGTAAAAACATAAATTAGCCAGGCATGGTGTTCTCCTGTAGTCCCAGCTACTTGGGAAGCTGAGGTGGGAGGATCACTTTGCTTGAGCCCAGGAGTTTGAGGCTGCAGTGAGCTGTGATTTTGCACCTCTGCGCTCCAGCCTGGGCGACAGGTCAAGATCCTGTCTCTAAAAAAAAAAAACCAGGCCTGGTGGCTTGACAACTCCACACTCTGAAGGCGGGCGGGGGTGGCAGGACGGGGACTGCCCAGGCAAGTTTCTATTCTGGGCGAATGTTTTGTCAAGAGGCCCCTGTCTCAAACGAGGTCAGCATTTGTCTGTGATGCCCTCCCAGCTGGCGTTTCTGCCCCGGGGAGGGTAAAGTTACCAGTCTGGGGAGAGCAAACTCTTCGGCTCCAAAGAGCAGTGGGAGTGAGCCAGTGTCCAAACTGATCATTTTGGGTGGAGACGAAGGTCCCCATGACCAGAAATTTCCAACTTCAACAACAAAACGAATGAACTCGGTCAAATGTCGTGAAGTCTGCAGCCCACTTTCAAACGGCTCAACACAACTACACACACAGGCCCACACACGCTGACAAAGCAGACATGGCAGAATGTTAACAGTTGCCGTGGGTTTCATCGCACGCTTCTTTCGACTTTTTGCTATGTCTGAACATTTTTGCATAATAAAAAGTCAAACTATAATACTGTTTTTGGGGCATCTCCTTGAATCCGACTACCTCTCTCTCAGCTCTAATGCCCACCATGGCTCCCTGCTACTCTGGAGATCATGCCCACACTCAAGGTGGCTCTGCTCCACTGACCTCTCACACCCAGAAATTGCTTACGGTTTCCCTGCACTGGCCATTCTTTCTCTGCCGGCCTCTAAGCCTTTGTCTGTGCTGTGCCCTCTGCCTAGGAACCCTTCTCTTTCCTCATCGTCCACCCTCCTCCCTTCCATGTTCTTGGCATCTCTCTTTAAAGCCACTTCCTCGGGGAAGCATCCTCTGACTTTGAACCTCGGCAAGGTTTTCCCATAGCGTTTCCACTTGGCCACCTCCCTTTGTCCTCCAGAGCACAACTGCGGTTTGCTGCTATATATTTGAGTCTTTGTTTCCCATGCGTTGCCCTCACTAGGCTATAAGCTTCCTGGGGGTGGGATGGAAGCTGGCATGTGCACCCCACTCTTACCCCCAGTTCCTGGTCCATGGACTGGCCCATAGGCACTGCTCATTCACTCTTTCACTCTGGATGGAATGGATGAATCAATATACAAATGCTTCACTTTCAGTAGAGATGCCCCCTCCTCCAGGAAGCCCTCCCTGACCTCCCTGCCCCACCTCACCTCCTTAGGTCATCCTCGAAGGGCAGGAAGAGCCACTTCTCAGGCATGTCCCTGAGGAACAGGTCCTGCTGCTCCTCTGTGAGGTCCTGAGACACATACACCAGGGCTATCTGGGCCGCCCGCAGCACGTAGAACTCATCTGTGAGCCGCACGAAGAAGTCCTTGAGGATGGGCACGAAGGCCTGGCATTCGGGACAAGCCCCAGCACCGAAGAACAGCAGCACCAGCCGGTTCTCTAGCTTGCGGCTGAGCTCAGCCTCCGTGTCCAGCTCGTCCTGGTCACTATTGTTCCGGATCAAGACTCGGCCAGAGAACAGGGAGGCCATGGAAGCCTCGGCTGGGTGCTGGAGACAGTGCGGAGGGACCCCTCGTGGTGTGGCCCCAGGTCTGCTGGCTGGCTTCTCTCCTAGGAATAGAAATCTTTACGAAACCGGCTTAGGACTAATCTACCTCCACCTCGACCTGGTTCGGGGACACCTCCAAGGTCAGGGGGCGGGGCTCCCCGTGTGCCCTTCTGTCTCAGGAGAGAGCCACAAATGCATTCAGAGAAATGCGCAGGATTGCAAAGGAAACCGATCATCCCGACATACAGGTGTGGAAATATTCTGTTAAATTGTGATACAAAAACATACATGCTTCTTCACAAACGCATTAAGTAACGCGGTTTGACAGGCGCTCTACCTATTACCGTGAAGCCTAAGTCGAGATGAGTGTCAGTGACATTTTGAGGTGTCTCCTATGACCAGGATGTGCTATGAAATTATCTTTGATTTCCACGGGTGACAGTCCCAGGGCTGGCCAACGCCTGCATTCGCAGGGAGAGGACATGCTAAATTCCACCGAGAAGTTAATGAAAATGAACATGTATTTTTTTTCTCCATCCTCCCAGATTCTGTCTGGCCCAGCCACGCCTTAACATTGCCCTGGTGTAGAAAGTTGACAATCAGGGCCACAGTATTTTGCAGTCCCCCGACCCCATCAAGAGGTGGAGACCGGTTTCTCTCTCCTTGAATCTGGGCCTGGTTTTGTGACTTGCTTTGACCAATACAATGTGGCAGAAGGCGTGAGTTCCAAGGATGTCTTTTTTAAAGAGATGGGGTCTCGATATGTTGCCCAGGCTGGTCTCAAACTCCTGGCCTCGGGCGATCCTCCTGACCCGGCTGTGCCTCTTACTTTCCACTGTCGGAACTCTGCCTTGAGACCCCCATGTAAGGAAGCCAGTCTAGACCAGGGCGCTGCACACCTTGTCTGTAGGCCCAGGACGGAAATGCTGGCTTTGCAATCCACGTGGTCTCTGCTGCAACTGCCGACTTGAACCTTGAAAGAGACAATGTGTGAATAAATGTCTGTGTCTGTGTTCCGGGGCCACTTGCACCTATGGGCACTGACACTGGGTCGCACAGGATTTTCACACGTCACCAGCATTAGTCGCCGTCATTCCCCCCACATGTTCAACAATGTAAAAACCATTCTGGCCGGGCGCAGTGGCTCACGCCTGTGATCCCAGCACTTTGGGAGGCCGAGGAGGAAGAATGGCTCGAGGCCAGGTGTTTGAGACCAGCCTGGGCAACACAGCAAGACCTCATCTCTACGAAAAAGTTTAAAAGTTTAGCTGGGCCTGGTGGCATGCACCTGTAGCCCCAGCTACTCAGGAGGCTGAGACAGGAGGATCGCTTGAGCCCAGGAATTTGAGGTGACAGTGAGCTGTGATGGCACCACTGCACTCCAGCCTGGGTGACAATCTTAAAAAAAAAAAAAAAAAAAGAGAGCGAGAACTCTTCTACGGTGTTTCAAGCGCCTTGTGTTCTCGGAATAGTCCTACAAGTGAGGCACCGAGCCTTGCAGAAGCGGATGGGTGTGGGCAAGTCACCCAGTGAATGACATTTGTCAGAGTGCACACGTCAGTGTCATCTGACCCAGGATTTCGTCTGTCCCAGCTTCCAAAGTGCAGCACCCTTGACATTTGGGGCAGGATCATTCTTTTGCATGTGGGGGACTGTCTTGTACATCGTAGGACATTTAGCAGCGTCCCTGGCCTCAGCCCAGTAGCACCCCCCCTTCATCACAACAATTAAACAATGTCTCCAGATGTTGCAAGTGTCCCCAGGGGGCAGAACCACCCTCCATCGAGAACTCTGTCTCTAATCCTTTCTCCTGTTGCGGTGGGTTGAAAGGCAGCCGTCCAGCAGGTAACTCCATGCCCTAACCCCAGAACCCGTGAATGGGACTTTATTGGCAAGAAAGGGGCTTTGCAGACATAATTAGTTGAAGATTTCAAGATGACATCATCCTGGATCATCTGGGTGAGCCACAAATCCACTGACAAGTGTCCTAATAAGAGACAGAAGAGGAGACGCAGGGCCGAGAAGCCCCTGTGAAGACAGGGGCGAGATTGGAGTGATGTGGCCACAATCCAAGGAAACCTGGACCCCTAGAAGTTGGATGAGGCAAGAAAGGAGCCTCCTCTTAGAGCCTCCAGAGGGAGCTCAGCTGCTCACCTTGATTTTGGACTTCTGGCCTCCAGAACTGGAAGAGAATAAATTCCTGTCGCTCTGAGCCACCTGGGCTATAGTACATGGTTCCGGCAGCCCTGGGAAACTCACACCCCTGCTGTGGTGGGCATTGCCATTCGCCTGGGAGAACTGTTCACTCCTACGCAGTGTTCGTGTTCTACTTATAGCAAAACCCCCACGCTAACGTCTTGTGGCATTTTATTTCAATATTTCTTCTTTTCTCTTGTTCTTCCAGAAAGTTTCAAGAACTCTCTTCACTGTGGCAGGACCCTGTGATCACCCCAGGGGACAGGAAGGCGGTCCACTAAGAGCCAGTGCACAGTGAGTGATCAATAAATGCACAGCTCCCAGAAGGAGGAAGGAGGGCGGTCTCTATTTTTTAGAGACAGTATCTTGCTATGTTGTCCAGACTTGTCTTGAACTCCTGGCCTCAAGTGATCCTCCTGCCTCAGTTTCCTGGGGCTCAGTCCTTCCTCTGAAATCCTTGGGAAAGCCTGTGTTTTGGAATTGGGACCTTTTTTTTGTATTTTAGAGGGGACCTGGGGACAGATGCACGGAGCCTGCTGGAGCTCAGACAATAGCCCCCACGGTGAAGGCCTCCGAAGCAGCCTCGGAAGCAAAAGTTCTTCTCTGCCCCTCTGCCCGCCTGTCTCTCAGTCCTGGTCTCTCCCAGGGCAGGTCATAGAAACCAGAACCCCATTCCCCCAGGCCAGCCATAAAACCTAAAACTATTACTTCAACTTTCCCCCTGCCTTTTTGTGTAAAAACTGGCCTTGAAGACATTATCTGACCTACTTTGTTTGACTGTAGGGCATAAAACCCCCATTCGAGAGAAGGGCCTGCCCCGCACCCAGGAGGAAGGAATGCACGCTCAGAGCGGCAAGAAGAATCTAGACAGACAGGCTTGCTGCGTCTGTTGGCATTAGCTCATACCCTTTCTGTCCAAACATATTTCACACAGCCGTCCGTACTTCGTTAGACCTAAGCATAAAGACAATTTCCCCAGTATCTTTTCAAGTTGATTTTCCGCGAACCTTCAGAGTGGGAAGGGGAACTTTTCCCTTGGTCCCTACACGACCCTAGGGGTCTGGGGCAGCCCGTAAGCACGGGGATTAATGAGGATAAAAAAGCAAAATTGTTGGGAGCCTGAGGCAGGAGGATCGGTTGGGGCCAGGTGTTCAAGACCAGGCTGGGCAACGCAGCGAGAGCCCATCTCTACAAAAAATTAAAAAATGAGCCGGGCATGGTGGTGCGCACCTGTAGTCCCAGCTATTCAGGAGGCTGAGACAGGAGGATCGATTGAGCCCAGGAGTTTGAGGTTGCAGTGAGCTATGATGACACCACTGCACTCTAGCCTGGGCGACAGAACAAGATCCTGTCTCTGGAAAAAAAAATGCATAATTGGCCATGAAACAGCCTGGCTCAGCGCAGGGGAGCTGGTGCTGCCAGTAGAGTTCTGGGACCACCTTGGGAGACAAACCGGGTTTGCAAAGCCTCTCAGATTTGGGGACCAAGAGAGGACAAGAGAGGTGGGGAGAGCTGGAGAAGACAGTTTGCGCAGGCTGCTTAGTCAGAGCTCAGGAAACGTGGAAAGATGGAGGGGAGGTGGGGAGGGAGGACGGAGAAGGAGGGAGGACGGAGAAGGAGGGAAGGAGGAAGTCGGGTAAGAGCCAAGGGAAATGGGGCAAAGGGGAGGAGAGGGAGGAGAAATTTAGGGAAGAAACAAAGGGGAGGGGCAGGGGTGGAGGGAAAGAAAGAAAGAGAGGAAAGAGGAGAGGACAGAAGGAGGGACAGAAAGCCCTGAGCTGGCAGGAGCGGTTGCACGAATCTCAACTCCAGGCTAGTGTGACAGCTCCAGTCCTCAATTGGCCTCAGTTTCTTAACCTGTCAAATGGGTGATCATAGTCATGCTACCTGGCAGGGTAAGAATGCAGCCGTGGTCACTGACCCTTGCTGACTCTTCCAGGCCGGGAAAGCAGCCGGCAGTGGCTGGCTCCCTGCCTGTCCTCCGGATCTACCACTTCTCCCCACATTCTCCCACCCACCCGGGGCTGTCCACAGTGACCAATGGCAGGCAGCGTGGGGAGTGAGCGCCTGCCCAGCCCTGTCCTCCAAGTGGTGCTGGAAGCAGGCTCTGGCCACCTCCCAAGGAGAATGGTGGCCAAGCTGGGCAGAAAACAACCAGCAGCCGGGTGGGCAGGGTGGCAGGGGAGGGAGCTTGAAGGGAGGGACCCAAGGCAGAGGCCTGCGTGGGCACAGCACAGGCAAGAAGGGCCCAGGAGTCTGCAGAAATAGAAGCCCAGGAGGGGCCCGACCTGCCTGGTCGAGGTTTGGAGTCCCTGACTGCCTCCTGAGCTTCTGGAAGCGAACGAAGGAGCAGCAGAGACTGAAGGTCTTGGTCTTGCAACTTCAAGGTCGGCCAGAGAACAGGGCTGGGCACGGCCTGTCCAGCACTGGTCAGGAAGAGGGCTTTGGTGACCTCCAGGTGAGCACTTACGGCCCGGGTTGCAAATAAAAGACAGCTCATGTGAGTGCATCTTGGAAGGACCAGGACCTGGTGTGTGGATTTTGTCTTCCCTGGGACTCCTGGGGTGTGACTTTGAGACTTGAGATTTAACTACAGGCTTCGGGATGTGGATTTAGGATTAGCGGGGTCTTTGGACTACTTGTTTAAGACTGAGGCGGGGGTTAGATTTAGAGCCTTCTGAGGCCCCTAGGGTGTGAGGGTAGCACTCCCTGGGTCCCAGGAAAGTGTGTTTAAAACCAGAGGCTGTGGGGCTTGGATTTAGGACAAGTGGAGGCAAGAAACCAACACAGGCGGGCCGTGGGTGTGAGCTGCTATTTTTTCGGTCCCCGGGGGTAGGGATCTCGCATGCCACGCAGGGGCGGAAACCTGCGGCCTTGGGGCAACAGCTGGCCTTCTGGATCCTTGAGTGTGTGTGGCCTTTTGACTGAATCCAAACTTTGTTCTGTGAAGTTTGGATTCGGTTGAGGGGCCGCACTTGGGGATCTGGAGAACCACGTGTGGCCTTGAGGCCGCAGGAATTTCCCGCGACCCACGTCCCCCGGTTGCAGAACACACATGTCTCTTAAACACGCGGGTGGGAGGGGAGGAGGCTTGGTTGCCATGGAGACGGCGGCCATCTCCGGCGGGCTACTCTAGCCCCTAGGTCTTTTTGGCCGTCGTCTCTCTGGCCCGCAGAATCTCTCTATGGTCGTGGCCTCCGGAAGTGGGTCAGCCTCGGCTGTGAAGGCCGAGTGGGGAAAAGCGAAGGACTTGAGTCTGGATAGGCTCGGGGACAGGATGTGAAGGTGGATTCTGGGATCGAGGATAGCGGCTACATTAAGGCATGGGGCGAAGCCTGACAGCGACTGACGGTGTTGAAGTGCTGGTTCTGTGGGCCGGGCCTGTTGTAATAATTGGCAGGGACTCCTGGGCCCAACGTGGGGTAGGGCGGAACCCGAGCAGGACCCGGCCAATCCCAGGCCTGGGGGCGGAGTCTGGCTCGGAGAGCCTTCCGGGCTGGCCCGGGGCCGGGAGCCGGGGCCCGGGGGCGGAGCTCTCCCTGGGGGCGGGGCGGGCCCGTCGGGGGCGGAGCCGGCGCGGCCGCGGTCTCAGCGCTCTCCGCCTCTCCAGGATGCGGGCGCCGGGTGCGGGCGCGGCCTCCGCGGCCTCGCTGGCGCTGCTGTGGCTGCTGGGGCTGCCGTGGACCTGGAGCGCGGCGGCGGCGCTCTGCGTGTACGTGGGCAGCGGCGGCTGGCGCTTTCTGCGCATCGTCTGCAAGACGGCGAGGCGGGACCTCTTGTGAGTAGAGCCGGGGCCGGGGGCGGGACCGCGCGCCCTGGAGGCGTACCGCGGGCCGCCGGCTCGGAGGGCCTAGAGGATCTGGGATGGGTGCCTCCAGGGTGGCGACGGGGCGGCGGTGACGAGTTGGGAGGCTCTGAGAGCAACTGCAGCAGACAGCTTGGAAGTCTTTGGAGGGAGATGAGTAGGTTCCAAGGTGCTTGGGGCTTTGGAGGCTGCTTGGGAGATCTCAGGGGACTTGAGGGGCAACTTGGGGGTCTTTGGGCAGCTGGTGGAAGTTCCAGGGAGCTGGGGCTGTTAGGGAAGCCGTGGGGGTTTGGGAGACTCTCTGGAGCCGTGGTGACTGCGGGAGACTTCTGTGGGCTCTTCAGTACGTTACTGGGGGCTCACAGGGGCGACCCAGTGGCCTCTGAAGGGTGCGTATCTCCTCAGGACCGTTTACGAGTTTCTGCATGGCTGGGGCACGCTTCGAGAGCTTGGGGTCTGTGTGGGACGCTGGGGGTTCAGGGAGGTTGCTGTGTGTTCCAGAATTTGTTTGAGGGTATCTGGAGACTGGGTTTGGGGGATAGATATGGTGTCCTATGCAGGGATCCTTGGAGGCTCTCTGGGGTGTCTCTGAGGTTCAGGCTCAAAGGAGCTGCTGGGGTCCTTCTGGGGTAAAATGGGTGATGCTGGGGGTTCCCATCAGAGCAAATCTCAGTAATAGCCCCCCTGTGGGAGCAGGTGAGCACCTGCCACGTGCCAGGCCAGGCTCGGCACCTTCATAGGTCTTGCAGAGAGGTGGGGGGACTGAACCCATGACAAGGGTGAAGAAACCGAGGTTCATGGAGGGGTACAGATGGTGTGGAGCTGGGAAGGGCCCCACTGCAAGATGATTGGTCTGGAACTTTCTGAAACGCATCCTTTTTTCTCCATGCCATGGCCCCTGCCCCTTCCCTGCTGCCTGCCCCATGGTGGTTCTGATGTGCCGATCTCACTGTGCCCTCTGCTCATGCACCTTCCATGGCTACCCCGTCCTCTGCAGCAGAAAGACTCAGCCTCCAGCTGGGCATTCAAAGTCCTGCCAACCTGTTCCCTGCCCACCTGCCGTTCTCCACTCCTGTATGTTCACCTGGTCCCCGAATCAACTTGCTACAGTGTCGGCCTCAGGCTGCCCCCTCTGCCTGGGACACACGGCACCCCTTTCTGCCTGGGGATGCTGTATGACACTCCCTCAGGGAAACTGCTGGATTTTCCTGCTCAGCATCGTCTCCTGATCCTTGTTGCCCTTAGAATCTATACCACTCACCTGAGCACTGCCCACAAGGTCCCTGACCACATCCCCAACCTCCACTACCTTCCCCGTGTCACTCCTCCAGCTATACCTACCTCTTTGCCATTCCTTAACTTTGTTCTAGCCTCAGGACCTTTGCACTTGCTGTTCTCTCTGCCTCGATTGCTATTTCCTTGCTCTTCATTTTCAGTCAAAGACACCCCGTGTCTGGCAGAATGGCCAATATTTACTGAGTGTTCCTGCCGTGCAGGGTCCTGTGCTAGGCATTTTACAGGCATGACCTTATATATAAAGCTCTCTTACAACCCCATGAGGTGGGTATTGTCCTGTCCCAATCTTACTGATGAGCAAACTGAGGCACAGTGTGGCTATGTAACTTGTCCCAGGTCACACAAGTGGTGGGAACAGGATTGAAAGTAGAGCGGTGTGGCCGCTCACCACTAGCAGTGTTTGTCACTTGTAATTATTTTATCTGCCTGTTTTCTTGCTTTTTAGTTCCTGGGCCTCTTCCCCCTGCTAGACTCTGGGGGTGCAGATGGAGATTGTGCTGGGCTTGGTGCCACGCTGGCCCTGCCCCCTGACTCAGGGCTGGCACCCAGCAGGAGCACGGGACATGTTTACCAAGTGCAGGGACTTCCCTTCCTTCTCGGGCGCACCCGGGCTCTGTCTCCTTCCTCCCCAGTTTGGCCCCGCTAGAACCTGGGAATATCCATGCCCCGGGGGACAGGGCAGAGTCTGGGTCCACTCTAAGTCCCTGACATGGCTTGACACACCTGTCTGTGGGAGGCAGCCTCGAAGATGGCCCCAGGGAGGCCTGCCTCATGCCTCTGCGTGCTCCCTTCCCGCTGAGTGTGGGCTGGCCCTAGTGACGCCGGCTGATGGGTAGAATACAACGGAAGTGATGGGATGTCACTTGTGACATTATTAGGTAACGTGAAAGACTGTGGCTTCTCTCTTGGGCACTGTCTCTTGGATCGCTGGCCCCATGTCGTGAGGCAGCCCTGTGGAAAGGCCCACACGAGTGACCTTGGAAGTGGATCCTCCCCAGAAAAAAGCCTCGAAATGACCGAAGCCGCAGCTGACGCCTCACTCGTAGCCTCACCCTGAGCCAGACCCACCCGCTAAGCCACTCCCAGAGTTTTTCTTTTTTGTTTTTTTGAGACAGAGTCTCACTCTGTTGCCCCTGCTGGAGTGCAGTGGCGTCATCATAGCTCACTGCAGCGTCAAACTCCTGGCCTCAAGCGATCCTCCTGCCTCAGCCTCCCGAGTAGCTGGGACTACAGGCACGCTCCACGACACCCAGCTAATTTTTCTTTTTTTTTTTTAGAAACAGGGTCTCACTCTTGCCCAGGCTGGTCTCGAACTCCTGACCTCAAGGAAGCCTCCCACCTCGGCCTCCTAGAGTGCTGGGATTACAGGCATGAGCCACCATGCCCAGCCCACTTCCAGATTTTTTTTTTTTTTGAGACAGAGTCTCACTGTGTTGCCCGGGCTAGAGTGCTGTGGCGTCAGCCTAGCTCACAGCAACCTCAAACTCCTGGGCTCAAGCGATCCTCCTGCCTCAGCCTCCTGAGTAGCTGGGACTACAGGCATGCGCCACCGTGCCCGACTAATTTTTTCTATATATTTTTAGTTGTCCGATTAATTTCTTTCTATTTTTAGTAGAGACGGGGTCTCGCTCTTGCTCAGGCCGGTCTCGAACTCCTGAGCTCAAACGATCTGCCCGCCTCGGCCTCCCAGAGAGCTAGGATTACAGGCGTGAGCTGCCGCGCCCGGCCCACTTCCAGATTTTTGACCTGTAGAAACTGTGAGATGATAAATGTTTGTTGTTTCCTGTCAGTGATTCGTGGGGTAATTTGTTACTCAGCAATAGCTAACCATTGCAGCCTGTATAGACCTTCCCATGTACTAGATCTTGTTCTGATCCTCTCACAGTCCTGTAAAGAAGGGATGTTGGTGAATTCCATGTTCAGGTAGGTGAAATGCACAAGGGCACAGAGAGGTGAGGTCATTTGCCCAGGAACACACAGCCAAGGAGGGCCAGGGCTCCAGAGCCCATGCTCTTAGCCGCCGTGTCATACTGGGGTGGTGGAGGTGCTGAATGTATACCTGGGTTCAGAAAAGTTTTCAGCACCCTACCCCCAGTGCTCCTAACGTGTCCCGTGCTTGGCGGCATGAAATCTGATCACATTCATCCTTGTTGATTTCTTCCTGCCCTGGAGGCCTGGGCTTGGGGCAGAGGAGCAGTGGGATGAGAACCAGACAGTGGCTTCTTTGTCTGAAGGGTGGGGGTGGCTTAAACTGGGGCCATGGAGGGCTGCCCAGGCATGTGGCTGGAACCAAGCACCGGAATCCACTGCCTGCCCACGTGGGCGTCCTGGAGAGCGGCGGGGCCAGTCCTCTTGTTCCTGGTCCGGGAGCTCGTGTTCAGCCCGAGTGTGACCAGCTGTGGCCTCAGTTCCCATTTCTTGCTGTGTTGCCTGGGAACGCAGGGGCTGCTTCCTGTGGTTGCCACCTCTGCTGATGGCCCCCTGTAGGGTTCTTGGGGTGCTCTATCGAGTTCACTCACGGGAAGCCCTTAGAGCAGAATTGTGCACACAGTCGGTGCTCTGACGCGTTGGCGCTGATTGCCACGTGATGGCCCAAGGGTCTGGCTATGGACTTCATCTCTGCCCCTCACTGGCCCATCGAGCCCTAGTTCCTCCGTCTGCAAGACTGGTCCTTGTGCCGAGCTCCTCCTTTGGGAAGCATGCATTGAGCACCTGCTGTGTGTGTCACGGGCACTTGGCCTGCCACCTGTATGTCGTGAGCACCTGATGAGCGCCTTGTGGTGAACCTGCCGGGGGAGCAGAAGGAGCCTGTGAGGCGGCCTCGGTTCTTGGTTGTTCTGCCCCCAGATGGCTTTGTGACCTTGGGCGTGTTAATTCACCTCTCTGAGCCCCCGGCTTATCCATCATCTGACAAATGGGGCTCTTAGGGCCCTACTTTGGCGGGGGGGCCGTAAGGTTAGCACAGTGCTTGGCACATAGTAGGTGACTGACAAACACTAAAGATGATCATCTTAGCTATTCCGTTTATGATTATAGTTGAATGAATGGATGAGCAGCGTTCTTGCTGGTGAGGTCACCCGCTCTTTGTCCCGGCCCTTCCTGTGGCCCCATGGTTCACTCCAGAGCTCCCTGGAGGGGGACTCTGGGGCCCAGACCCTGTCTTTAGCAGCCGCCTTCAAGGCATAGTCTTCGTACCCAAGGCTGTCAGGGTGTGCCCAGGGAGGTGATGTGTAAACAGCCAACTTTTAATGTTTTATGCTTTTACTTATTTTTTTGTAGTTGTTAATACATAACACATTGTACTAAATTCTAAATGTCGCAGAGGGGCTTGCGGCGAACGTCGCCCTCTCTCCACTGCCCCCAGCCGCCCAGTCCCCTCCTTAGAGAGGCTGCGTGTCTGCTTCCCAAGACACGTTTCCAGAAGCGTGCACAGGCCGGCTCGTCCCGTCCCGCTCCCGCCCTGGTGTCCTCCGCTCGCACTCGTACCTGTTACTTTATCAAAGTCACGCGAGCACCGAGCACCGCAGGGAAACACTCAAGCCATCCACCTCACCCCCGGCCTGCAGTTTCTCTTCTCTGGTGGGAACAGCTTTCACCTCCGTGTCTCTAAATGACGGATGTGACAACATCTTGCATTTTGTTTTTTTCCCAGTTCGAGGCCTGAGCTCGTCATTTCC